TATGTGGCTGGATTCAGTGACACTGATCTTTGGTTACTGATTGAATTCCTCCTCCGGTTTCTTCACTACATGTTATATATGAGTCTGGATGGATGTAAACTGTCACTGGCAGGCAGACGAATACAAGGTTTCTGGTTATTGTTGATGTTTTTTAGGTTCTTATTTATATTTTGAAGCTGAGATGACTCAAAGCAGAAAGAGGCAGGTACACTGTTTAAAAAAAAAAATGGTGACAATCTGCTCGGCAAGGGTCCAAAAAAACCCTGCAAACAGTAAAATCCTGTAATGCTCAAAAAACTGTAAAAACAATGAAAATAAGTGCAAATATATGTGTAAAAAATACATATATTTGTAGCTGTAGGAGTGTAATTTTACAGTCATATATCGTTAATCATTGAATTACTAGAACTATACTAGTTTTTGCCTTTTTTTATTACAGTAAAAATATAAAATAATGTGATTTTAATCGTTATTATTATTATTAAAAAAATATTAACCTTTTTTTCAGTGCTTAATATACACATTTATTACTTTCAAATAGCATCAAATATTTGTTGTTTTTTAAAATTTATATTATTTTATATTTGCTGTTTTAAATATAATTTTAAAAAAGACAGAAAAAATTGTAAAAGACCAACTTCCCATTTTTAAAAAATGCCAATTTTAATGTAGACTTTATTTACAATTTTGGCTTGTTTTTTATTGTTAACGTGTAAATTAATGCTTTCTGTAATTTTACTAGCTATTATCTGGCATTTAATAAAACTTTTTCAAAAATTATTAACCAATTAATGCTTAATATACATATTTATTTATTTCAAATAACATCAGATGTCTGTAAAATAATGTTTTTTTTGCTGCTTTAAATATAATTTTAAAAAAGACTGCAAAAAAATTGTAAAAGAACAACTTACAATTAAAAAAAATACTGATTTTAATTTGGAATTTATATAAAGTTTTGGCCTCTTTTTTATGATTAAGGTGTAAATGAGTGCTTTTTGTAATTCTACTAGTTATTATCTGTGATTTCACAAACCAGATCAAAATAAAGGTAAAAGATTAAAGCTGTTGCATAACATTGGTTCCTACGGTGTATTTACATGCATGCGCCACTTTCCCGTCATTAGCGCTAATCGAAGAGGCGCCACAACGTTGGTCCCGCTAAACGCCGGCCTCCCTGATGGCTATTACCCAACATGCTGTTATTCTATCTCCAGCCCCAATCCTAAACAATAGCCTCGTGAAATCAATGATTATTTCGCACGATGCGCGTCGGAAAGCCGCTGAGGTATTAGTCGCCGAGGACGGGATTGACCCGAAGCGTGAGTCGATGCGAACGTTTGACGAATTCTGCTAACTGTTATTAACAGGAGCACCTGACCCCGCAGTACTGGCGCGCCCTCGCCTAGCAACACGGGCCCATGAATCATCAAACCGCGTGTTTCATGTTGCCGGCCATCCGTCTAGAGCGTATTGATATCCGCCGGTATCGATCACCTCCCAGCAATCGGGCGATACGAGCCATCTGGGCGAGAAAAATCCGATCCTCCGGTTAAATGGAGCAGTTGGTCATGAGGGGGTTTCAGACGTGATGCATGTGTGCTGCGGGGGAATGAGAAGCCGAATCATGCACTTCAGATCTGTGTTTGTGTCTGAAAGCAGCCTCCGGGGGGGCCAGCTGACTCGGTCCCGCCTCCCTTTATTCTGAACCGGTGACCATGTGCATGCTGGGGCTCTGCAGCACTTTGTACTGAGCGCTGAGAGGCTGTGGCCTATTTTCACTCTAATACTACAAAGTAATCTTCACAGCGTCCTTTTCATCATTTTGTTGGGGGAGAAAAAAAAAGAGTGGGACTCTTTTAAAAAGTTGTTTGTGTCTTCTCTAATTCCTCTGTGTGACACAGTCTGTAAACGCCACACTCAGAGATCGGTTGTATTTATTGTTCCTGCTGAACTTCATCACTTTTCGACAAACTCAAATCCCTGTTTTGATTTGGACTAAGTATAGGATTAAACATTTGCTAAACCCCACCTGACTCCTGTAAAGCAAATTCAGTTTACTATGAAAATTGCAGGATGTTTATAGTAAATAATGACCTTTTTAAAGGAAAAACAAAACCTTCATTTTTTGTTTTTTTGCTTGTTTCAAGGCAGAAACTGATAGTTTCATTGTACACTGTAAAGAAAAAAGTTTTTACTAGTGATGCACGATATTAAAATTTCTGGCCGTTACCGATATCCGATATTAAGATTTCTGATATCACGATAACCGATATCACCGATGTTGAGATTCAAGTTTTGTTTACATCGAAAACTAAGTTTCAGTAAGCACTGTGAGAAAATTATTCAAAAGAAGCCCGAATTAGACCACATAGTCTTTATTACAAAAGTAAAACATATTTAAGTCCAGGACTATTTAAGTCAAAACATCTGTGAAATAGCAGCGATATCAAACGTAAAGACGAAGGCGCTAACGTCAGACAATCATCGGCTAAATTTGTTCATCGGACCGATATCAATATATCGGGAAAAAAACATTAATATCGGCCGATACCGATGTGGTCGCTGATTTATCGTACATCCCTAGTTTTTTTTGTTGTTTTTTTTTTTTATTGCAATGAACAGTTTTCTACCTGTATGTATTTTATTTATTTATTTATTTATTTTTACAATTTACTCAGGCCCAATTATAGCCCTTTTCAAAACACTCATCACCAGCCGGAGGTTTGTTGATTAAACACCGATATGTTCTTAATTTCTCCTAAAACAGTAAATGCTGTGAAGTGTCACAGTCGCTTCATTTTGTACAATTTGATTTTGTAAACAGACAAATATTCTCGATGGCAAAAGCATGTAAAACACTTCAGCAACACCACGACAAGCTCCGGTTTTGCCGCTGCTTGTTGTAAACAAGTCAACCTTTGCTCACGGAGATGAAGACCAGCTGGAAGATCTCTCACTCTGCCGCAAAGTCTGAAACCAAAACAGCGCGTAGAGCCTCACTCTGACAGAGAACTACAGAAAACAACTTTTTAAACTTTGTATTCAACTTTTTTTCTAACTTATGCAACTTACATTTGTATGAACTGATTCTCATCAGCTTTAAAGACAGCTCAGTCTTTGAGAGTCCAGAACATCAGAGGGCTGCATGAATAATGTTCTGCACTAACTTCACTCATTATGTTTTACTTCCATAAACACTGAGCATGCTCGCTGCGTGTGACGTCGTCGTGTCCTCTTCTGCGCATGCGGGACACTTTTGGGTCGTATGAAGTTCACACAGCAGATCACATACAAGTCACATTTAACTGGAAAAGTGAACGAATTCACAAAATAATCGGATTTCACCAACAAATCCTCATTGAGCATTAAGTCCTGCAGTGTGAACGTAGCCAATCTGTGGGATTGTTCAGTCAGATAATACGCCGTTATCCTGATTGGTGACATAAAATGTCATGTTGGAGTCAGAATCCAAGGCTATCGGTATGTTAAGGCTGTTTTTTATGGGTTCCATTCGTTTTTCCTAAAAACCTGTCGGATAGCAGGTTTAGGATTGTTAAGGGTCGGATTATCGAGACACAACTGTACTCAGCTGCTCTTTGACAATCCACCAAAAATAGAATTATTTTACTGATATTGGGCAGTTTTTTTGTTTTGTTTGTCCCAGAATTACTTTTACAGCTTGTGAAACCGTCGCTGGCAGATTTAATCCGCTGTAGCAGCTAATTAAACAAACACTAACTGCAGTATTTAATGTTTCATACAAACAATGAATCGGCTTTTGTTTGTTTGTGTCGTGGTGTTGGCTAGTTTGCCATCCTGTTTGGTTTGACAAGAAAAATATGGACTTTTTCTTTAAAGGAAACACTTTGTTCAGTGGATGTGGATGTTGTCCAGAAAGACAAAAGCTCTGATTGGAAACAGAGATGTTGGAGTTAATTGTCATTTTTTTTAAACCACCTGTAAACTGATTTGTTGGTGCAAAATCGAATTATCTAAACAGCCAAATACAAATATTCTCCTCTTGTTTTCTTTCCATTCTATTTATTTCCTTTCTGTACCTTTTGGTAATTGGATGCAGAAAAGTTTTGAATACATTTGGAAAAAAAAAAAGTCCCAAAGGACAATATTATAAGTTATGATAAGACCCAGAGTAGCGCCGTACCCAAATATTCTACGTTAGCTTAAGGGCTCAGTATGATAAATGGTGTTTGGAGTGTTTGGCTGCCTGTTGCCTTATTTTTTATTTACTGACCTGATGGCTTAATGCACGCAGAACTTCCACCATTAGGCTGAAAACTCCCAGCAAACCTTCCGGTAACATAAAAATAAGGAAAAAATATAATCACCCACCACAGGAGAGTACATTTGGATTTCACCTGAAATAATAATAATCGGATTTGAGTGCTGCCGCTTTTGTTCCGGTGATTTAATTGTTGGAACTCTGAATTTGTGCAGAGTCGCCCCGCTGCTCGCTGTAAGGAAGGTATTCAGGTTAATGAGTCAACGTTAGATCACATCGATGTGTCAGAGGATGTCAATTATTAAGGTTTATTCATGAGGTTACATGAATGACGCACAGCCGCCGGACCCCGCTGATGTGTGATGCAACTGTTTATGAAAGAAAAGAAGCTCCGAGTTCAGAAGTTGCCTGAAAGCAGATTTAAAGCTGTAACGCTGGAGGAGGCGGAGCTCACGCAGTGAGCTCTGGTGGGCTTTGGCCGAATGTGACCCCCGATGGTAGCTAACGGTGAAGCTGTGGTTGCAGAGTTTAGTTTCCACATACAAGGATGGATGCTGCTTCATCAGACCGTGAAGCCTGACGGAGAACCAGACGACACAAAACGGATCCAGATGATCACAAACACAAACCTTTAGAAAGCTTTAAATGCGTATTTACGCATCTTTGGAGTCCAATTCTGAACTGCAAACCAGAAAATGCAAAACGGGAAACTTAGATCAACAGAGAAAACCAGACTTATCATCTCGTCCTGGGCAGGATTGCAACAACACATCATCCGTAGGGTAAAACTAACCTGTCTCACGACGGTCTAATCCCAGCTCACGTTCCCTGTTAGTGGGCAAACAATCCAACGCTTGGTGAATTCTGCTTCACAACGATAGGAAGAGCCGACATCCAAGGATCAAAAAGCGACGTCGCTATGAACGCTGGGCTGCCACAAGCCAGTTATCCACCAGGCCACACACAGGACAGAAGTCTGGAGCCAAAGTGGAGCGTCCCCGTCTGCTCGTTTGGCTTCTCTTTGTTGCCATGTTGTGTCCTCATATTGTCATTTGGTGTTCTTTATAGAAGCTTTGTGTTCCCCTGCAGCCATTCTGGCCTCACTTTGTAGTCATTCAGCGCTTCTTTGTATTTGTTTTTTGCACCCCTGTGGGCGTTTCGCATCTCTTTATAGTTTTACATTACTTTGAAGTAGTTTTATGTGTCATTGTAGTCGTCGGGCATCTCTCTGTAGTCGTTTTGCATCTGTTTGTAGTCACTGACTTCCCAACGAGAAACATTAAATCTGGCTTCATACAGAGGCTCTGACCAGGGGCCCGTGACCCTTTAGATCTCAGGGCGCAGTGGGCAACACTGAGTCTGTTAATAGTCAATTAACACGCTGACGACGGTTTTGTACGTGTTTGAAGGTTGTAGAAATGAATCTGGAGCCGATCAAATGCCTCCTTCCTGCTGGATCAAAACATCTAATTAACTGAAAACTCTTGCGTGTCTGTTAAAGTGCTTCTGTAGGAGTACGTGAAATGTCATCTAATATGTGACAACAATAAATAGTCCTATGTGCCACCCCTTAATTGTAGCCTTAACTGTAACAGGACGGGCTTCAGTGCTGCGAGGAAACACTGCTGGATGTGCTGCTCATCTACCTTTTTATTTTACGGCAGCGGGTATTGTTGAAGGTAGCAGGCTGGTTAAGCAGGCATGCTAACAGTTGCAGTTTATGTGAGAGCACTGGTGCAAATCAGAGCGAAACTAAACGTGATGCAGGCTGTAATTGCATCTGGCTCGGTCGACACAGAAATGGGCTCTGTGGGTTTTTCTCTGTGTGCTCTGGCTTCTTCCCGCTGGCCAATAACATGTATGCATGGTGGTGTCTCTTTGTGTTAGCCAGGTGATGGATTGGCGACCTGCCCTGAGTGTACCTCGCTGCTCACTTAATGTCAGCTTGGGTGGGCTTCAGCCCCCCGTAGCCCCCTACAGGAAGAAGCAGGTATAGCTGAAGGATGAATTCATGTGGCAACAGAAAAGCCAGTGTTGTGCAAGTCTAGTCATGTTGTTTTCTTGTTTTCATGGCTGTATCTGTACGGTGGTCCAGAAGTGTCACAACAAAACAAAAGCCACAACACAACACGATAAGCCACAATGCTACAAAATAAGCCGCAACACAACACAACGTCTGCAACGGAAGTTGTTTTTTTTAACCTGGAAGTTATACTGTGAAGTACACAACGCCACACGAAGTGGCCAGAAGCCGGAGATTAATGGACATTATTTGCCATCAGTATTTTACTTACTTTCGAGTTGTTTCCAACAATCTCCGGCTTCTGCCCACTTTGTGTGGCGTTGCGTACTTCACAGTATAGCTTCCAGGTTAAAAAAAACAACTTCCGTTGAAGCTGTTGTGTTGTGTTGCGGCTTATTTTGTAGTGTTGTGGTTAATTTTGTAGTGTTGTGGCTTTTGTTTTGTTGTGTCTGTACAGCACTTTGGTCAACCCCGGTTGTTTTAAATGTGCTCTATAAATAAAGTTTGAGTTGAGTTGAGTTGAGTGACACTTCTGGGCCACCGTAGTATCTGTGCATGTAAATACTCGGTTCCAGTGACTTCCGTCTTTTGTGCATTCAGAAAACAACACGATTTGCTCCATCTGCGCCACTATTGTTAGAAGTACACAAAAAAATATGCATGAAGGTGAGATAATGCTTTTCATTCTTGTGTTGGGCTGCAAGGTGGATCAATGGTTAGCACCGTCGCCTCGCAGCTACAAGGTCGCCGGTTGGCGTCCCAGTGAGGACACCCGGGATCTTTCTGCGTGGAGTCTCCATGTTCTCTCCGTGCAGCGTGGGTTCTCTCCGGGTTCTCCGGCTTCCTCCCACACAGTCCAGAAACATGTTGAGGTTAATTGGTGATTCTAAATTGTCCGTAGGTGTGAATGTGGGTGTGCTTGGTTGTCTGTCTCTAAGTGTAGCCCTGTGATAGATTGGTTACCTGTCCAGGTGAACCTGCCTTCACCCTGAGTCAGCTGGGATAGACTCCAGCCCCCCATGACCCTAGTGAGGATGAAGCGGTGTAGAGATAATGGATGGATGGATTCTTGTGTTAGCATGAACATTATTACCTGTATACCTCGATAAATAGGCTAAAGTGTTTGGTTCACAGTGAGGTAGATCTAGTTCAGACTTTTGTCGCGCTCACCTACTTGCAAACCCAAAAACATGCGAGCAGCCTTCATGTAGACCTGGTCTTTGGTCATTATTGTGCCGCAGAACCATTCGCTGCAACTTGTCATAAAAACCAAAAGCAACTGTGAAACTTGAAGTGGGCCTGAGAGGGGGTCTGTCCAGTAAATGAAATGCAGAGGTGAGTGGAGCTCATTACTCACTGTCACGGAGCGAGTGACAGGTACATCAGCACTGAAAATGTACACAGTGAGCTATTTATAAATACCAGTGACAGGAGCTCCGAGTTGATGTCCCACTTCATGTCAGACCCCTCCCACCGCTCTGATCGTGCTGCTTTTCTCTCAGCAGCTGGCACAGATGCAGCCAAAGGATCCCCACATGAAAAAAAAAACGCTCCGACACGATAACCCTTGTCTATGTAGTCGTCTTCCATCAGAAAACAGCCTCACACACACACACATGTGCTGAAAGCCAACATGGCACCCCTCTCCTCTTGTCACAGGCTGGCATGTAATCCTCCCTGAGAGCAACTCCCATTCAAGGTTTATTTTAATTGGTCGCAGCGCTCCCCAGAGTGGGAGCTGTGTCCAACAGAAGACACAGTAATGGTTTACCGTGGGAGCTGTGCATTAAACATACAGTTCAGCCGAGGCGCCGAGGGAATACTTCGCCGCGCACAGTCCCTCGCACAGCCATCATTTATGGATGCCCATTGTTCAGGTATCATAAAGAAACCCCACCTTATTACCAGTCTGGGGTCACAGTAATGAATCTACGGTGTGCTGGTGCTTTTATCGTTCTTTGAGCTTCTGTCAGAGATGCTCCGTGGAAGCGAGACAAGAAAATTGATCTAATGTTGGCCTTCAGGGATCAAAGTTGGTTTTGATAATAGTTTTTGAAGAGCCCGCGGTTATAGGTTTCATAATGAGCCGCGCTCTTCACCGTTATGTAATGTTTGAAAAGTCGATGGGAAAGTCAATAAGAAAAAGAAAGCGTTGATGACAGTGACAGTGACCTCTGGTCGGTGGGCTCGCCGCTGATAAGGCCTCTGATTGGACGGTGAGGTTGTGATTGTCCAATTATCTGGTGATGCCATCTGATCCAGTGTTTCTGTGTGTGTGTGTGTGTGTGTGTGTGTGTGTGTGTGTGTGTGTGTGTGTGTATTCACCTTGGCATTTGAGTCAACAAATATACATATGGTAAGTGCTCTCTTTTGTGTAGTTAGTGTATATTTTACATTAAACACTTCACTGTACCTTTTCAGGGAAAAGAAGCCCCTTTGATGGCATTACTTTGCATCTCAGCCTGTACATGAAAAGCACACGCACAAGGCCACGTTGAAGTACGAACTAAAAGCATTTTAAATACAAACTAGGATTGCAAACTTGCTGTAAGAATAGATGATGGCTTATAATGTGAAGGCAAGGCAGAGAAACACAGCGACAGGAGCACTGGATGCCCAAACAGAAATGAACACAAAATCCAGCTCCTGATGTAACAGGCTACTTGAAGATTTATGAAACACTCTGAAGCACCACACAGGCCTTATAAAGACGTGGCACAGCTGGATCTCAGTGTGGCAGCATCCAGTGGACACCACGGAGGCATTTAGTGACTGTTTCTACCTTCAGCGTTGTTGTGGCTCAGAGCTTTCAAGCACAGAGAGACCTGCTGCTGCCGACGTGCTGCTTTCACAGTGTGGACGGTGTGAGCTCAGGCTTTTACAACCAACAGGATATTTGAAACACATTGTGTGACTTGTCTGTTGTCAAAATTACCATTTTAAAAGGCGAACGATTGTTTATGTGATGATAAATTTTAATGAGAACCAAATCAATATCCACCGATCAGCAAACAACACTGAAACCCCTGATAGGTGAAGTGTTTATCATTGATCATCTCATCACAATGCAATGTTCCACTGGGAAACCTTGGGTATTCATGTCGAAGTTACTGCATCTCGTTCCGCCCACATGAACACTGCTGCAGTACAACGTGTTCTGCCATAACACAGAAACTGCTCAGGAACAGCTTAAAGAACATGACAAAGATCCAAAGGCGCAAACTGGGCCACCAAACTCCCAAGATCCCAGTCTGACCAAAAAACTGCGGTCGTAACAAGCCAGATCCACAGAGGCCCCGCCCTGCAACCTACAGGACCCAAAGGATCTGACGTCCTGGTGCCAGACAACACCCTCAGAAGAACCTAAGCATCATTAGGCAGATGGTTTTAATGTTAGTATCTCATGATCTTGTTTAAGAGTGATGGGAAAATGGAGCGCGAGGTGGACAGGCGTCAGCAGTAATGCAGGCGCTGTACCGGACCATTGTGGCGAAGAGAGAGCTGAGCAGCAAGGCGAACCTCTCGATTTATCAGTCCATCTGCGTACCAACCCTCACCTATGGTCACGAGCTTTGGGTCGTGACCATAGGTGAGGGTTACAAGTGGCCGAAATGAGCTTCCTCCGCTGGGTGGCTGGGCTCAGCCTTAGAGAAAGGTTGAGGAGCTCGAACATCCAGAGAGAGCTCGGAGTAGAGCCGCTGCTCCTTCGCATCGAAAGGAGCCAGTTGAGGTGGTATGGACATCTGATTTGGATGTCTCTGGGGAGGCTTCCTCTGGAGGTCTTCTGAACACGTCCACCTGGGAGGTGACCCCGGGGTAGACCCAGAACCCCCTGGAGGGATTATTTATGTTGGCTGGCCTGGAAACGCTTTGGGATCCCCCAGGAAGAGCTGGAAAGTGTCGCCGGGGGGAGGGAAGTCTGGAATGACCTGCTCCGCCTGCTGCCTCGCAACCCAACCCCAGATGGATGGATGGATGGATGGATGGATGGATGGTTTTAATGTTATATAAATACAATCAAAGCAAAACAAAATGTACAAAATTAGATGTCCGTATACAGACGAGTGACAAATTAAAGGAAAAAGCAACATAAAGTTTCCCAGTGCAGTGTTGGTCCGTCCACCATATGCTGCTGGAACAGCTTCTTTATGCCATACCATTGATTCTCCAAGTGTCTGGAGGGATGAACACTATTCTTTTAGTGTTTCGATGATGGTGGTGAGATCGCTGTCTAATCAAACAGTCCGAAATCTTTCATCGGCATTGAACTGGGTTGAGATCTTGTTACTGTGAGGGCCATTTGTATTGATTAGCAGTGACGCTTCCCTCTGAGGGGTCCAGATTCACCCAAACTATAGCATCGAAATGTCCCCCACAGCACAACAGAGCCAGCAGATCTCCTCACTGTACGGCTCAAGGGTTCAGGTTGGTCCTTGGATTTGCCCTCATCTGTATGTTTTTAAGCGAAACCAAAGTTGCAGACTTGAATTACACAAAAGTCATTTTAGACGGGAGAAATGGGCATTAGAATCGAGTACATTCATCATCTGAGCTAAAGTTTGTTTTTTGTTTTTTTTACCCCTTACTAACTCAGATTTGTTTGCCAGGAGTCAATCTTTTTATGATTCATGTTTGCTTTAGACGTCCGCAGAGAGGTCATTTCAGAGACAGACTTGCGGCGGATACCTCGAGTAAGTGGAGGTTCACAGCGCTAAGCTAGCAGTTTCATTGCCACAGTCGGGCCTGGTAGCCAAATGTATTTGTGATTCGGTATCGAGTCGAGGTCGTCGTCATTGTTTGGCAGGACAACAATGAGTCACAGATTTTATTATCACTCACAGGCAAGAATTAATCATGTCGAAAAAAAAATCACATCAGTAGGTTTTGTGCACACACACACACCACGGTAACATATATGAAAGCGCATGATTCCTCCTCATTGTGTTATTCCATTAACTGAGAGCCTGTCCCTGAATATGCCGCGCTTGGCAAAATCCACCCCAAGCTTCTGAGACAAACGAGTAAATAAATAATAGCGCGGCCGCTCTTCAAAACTAGGTTTAATTATCCACAGGCAGCTTAATGGGGGGTGAGGGAGGGAGGCGCCTCGAAGGGTGACAACCTCTGCGCCTTGAACCTTCCCACAGACACACAATCACGCACGCACACGCATAGACAACCACGTCTCGCAAATTCGGAGCCATTCATCATGGTGTCAGTAGGAGGTCTGTGGGGAGGACTCCGGGGTAAAATCCTTTCGAATTAGAATTCTATTTCACGTGTTTACTCGCCTCTCGCTTGTCTGTGAGGTCTGGCACTGTTGGGTTAAGTGTGTGTGTGTGAGAGAGAGAGCGTTGAAGAGGCCCTCCGTGCTGCGGGAGGCAGGGCAACATGATTAGGATACAGTTTTAACAACGCCGTGTGTGAATTCGCTGCTTCAGTGATGAACTGCGAGCTTCATTCGCGCTGTGATCTTTTTTTTTTCCACAATCGTATCTGCATTGCAAAGTGCACAAGGGGACCAACAACAACGATGTACACCTCCCCATAGAGGCACCGAGCCTTCAACGATGACTCCTTGTTTTAATTTAATCTCATATGATCTGAATGTATTGAATTATACATCAGCTATAACACCCTTAACCAAGGAAGTGCGCTCCGGCTTAGAGCTCTGCTTCGTCTTCGGTTTAAAATGTCATGGAAACATTAACTCCATCAAGAAACTGTAAACATTTGTGAAACATTTTATAAACCGAGTGCTAGATTTACCCACACAGTCAGAATGAGTCACAACGAAGTCCTCGCTTTATTTCAGGGACTTGTTATTGTTGAAAATATAAAGCTGATTTTCCACAGAGGAAAACTGTTTTCACAAGAGCTGCTTAACTGCAGTGGCTTTATCAGTTTTATTATCCCACGTCCTGTTTATAGTCCAATAGCACAAACAGTCCTACGTGGAAATTTGCCCTTGCTGCATTCTAATAAAAACAAAAGTTTCTATTTCCAGATATGAAGAAATAACTTCTGGGGAAAAGTATGCGATTCTGTGTTGTTGCGGAATAGTTATTGTAGATTAAAAAAAGGCCTCGGTTTTTATGATTTGAGGGACATCAGGCTATGGCTTAAATGTACTAAATATGAAATTAAATGATGAGGAGTCTGCACAAGACGACATGTATCAGAGCAACAATCACAAGCTCCCTGCAGCTTTCCTAAAAACATGATATTTGCATTATTGTTTTCATCTTTTGTTTTCTTTTTCTGACTGCAAGTAATCACAGACATTTGCCGGCTGGAAAGAGCATTTTGCTAACTGTATTAGAGATCTCCATCTGGGGCGACTTGTCCGGCTGAACCAACCACCCAGCATTAGTCCAGCAAACACATGCTGGTTTGCTTACATGTGTGACACTGTGGGCTGGAGAGGAAGCTGAAAATGGGATGTCAGACTGGATATTTGGTTGGTTATGGTCTGGGGTCTGTTGGGTGTTTTCTTCTGGTTGATTTTGGAGAGTGAAACACCACGTCCAGGATGGGAGTGTTTTTCAAATCAGTGGATTCATTAGTTGTAGTTCTACAGCTGGTAGGTCAAAACATCTTGGACACACCCTCTGTGATAGTACCTTTTGGTCATCAGGTGTTTTGGGTCTTAGACTCTCAGACACCCTCACCGAGGCAACCTGACTGGGAGAGATCAGTTCCCATCCTGTGTCCAAGAGGAAGAATTCGTCCACGGCTTGTCCCTTCTGGTCCACGGCCATTTAGAAGCTTTCTCCACTGCTGTCGGAGCTCTACTGGTGGCTTTTCTCTTGCTTGCACCAGTGATGCCAAACAGGTTGGAGGCTTCACACAGTGATTTTCCCACAAAGCCTCTCCCACTTCAATCTGCAGCACTCCTCCACCTTCTTCCTTTCGCTGGCCTCCTCCCAGGGCGCTGTAAGCTCCAGCATGATCACCCGTTTAGCAGCACAATGTCTGGTTAAATGGTGGTTTCCACAGTGGCATCCGGAAAGTTTGATTTGGCTTCATCGGTCCTTCCTTATCTGCCAGTCATGTGCTGCTCCACGAAGGCCTGCCTGAGCTTTTGGTTGCAGATTTGGATGCTGTCCCCCTCTCACAAATGTGATTTCACGTCAATAAACGGTTGGAGACACTGGCTCTGGTCAATGGCGCTGCAGAAGGACTCAGCAATTACTTTCAGAACTTGGTTGTGTGGCCAGCGAAAGCAGCCTTCCCCCAGTGCTTTAGGACAGATGCTGAGGATTTGCTCCAGTGTTCCTCTTCTTTGGTACAATAAACATGTTGGTGCTTCAACTTTGCCCCCAACACAGGAGGTTAGATGGGCTTGTCTGCGCCCCTTGTTGCTGCATGGGATTACTCTCATTCATAGATAAATGGAGGTCTTCTGACATCAAAAGCACCCAATCTTTGCAGCAAAAGACGTACTCCTCAGTGAGTGTAGGAACAAAACAACTTTTTCATTCTCATTTCTTTTTCATGAGCTTTTCATCTGTGGTACACATAAACAGGACCAACCACCAAACTGAAAAGACTTGCAATGGTCCACATGAGGGTCCACTGTTTATTATATTGTTAGGTTTCTGGAAAGTCAGCTAAGACATTTAAATAAATGTGTATATTAGTGAATATTAAGGCTGGTTAGAGTGCATGTATGCCCGGATGTAGATCTTTAATGCACGCAGCAAAATCTCAGTAGATCATTTTTGTGTTTACTTTTGTTCAAACTCACCAAAACGTTTAAAATTATTCATGTAGAAATCAAATCTTTTGGAAAGCTTTGGGGAACTTGCAGTTGTTGACCTGATATAAGCTGTTCATGCAACTCAATACATAACATTGAAATAAGCGTGAATTATTGTTTAAAAGAATGAGATCAGTGATGTCTACAGAGAGACACTGTCATGTGATGTCGAATGGTATCTCGAAGATTGCTGAAAATACTAAGTTTTTATATGTTGGCGCTTGTATGGAGCTTTGACCTTTAGGGCTTCAGTTGTGGAAAGTATTTCCCACATGT